ATCTAATCATTATTTAATTGCTCAGGTAATCAATGACGAAAAAGGTCATACTTTACTTTATCTTAATACGGCTGATTTAAGTGAAAAGTCAAAGGAAGCACCCCAATGCCGGAAAAATAAAGAGTGAGCTAAAAAGTTAGGACAAGAAATGACAAACAAATTAAAAGAGAAAGAAATCAAAAAAGTTGTTTTTGACCGCAATGGCTATCCTTATCACGGAAAAATTCAAGTTTTTTGTGAAACAATGCGCCAAGGAGGGATTGAATTTTAGATGGAAAGAACGAATAATGAAAGAAATCATTTGGTTCAGAGACCGAGAGATAACAGAAGGACCCAAAGGAGGGAGCCAAGGGAACAGTTAGAGCAGGAAGTCCTACAAGTCAAAAGGGTTACTAAGGTAACCAAAGGAGGAAGGCAGTTAAGATTTACCGCTTTGGTTTTGGTAAAAGGAGAAAAAGGCATTGCTTTTGGCTTAGCACGAGGCACGGACGTCGCTACTGCCATCCGCAAAGCAGTTAATCAAGCCAGTAAAAAATTAGTCGCCTATTTTGCCGAAACTCCGCGCACTATTCCTTATGATTTTCACTATTCCTTTAAAGCGACAACTATTTGTTTTCGTCCAGCTCCGGTGGGTAGCGGAATTATTGCCGGTGGAGCGATTAACCTGATTTTCAAATACTTAGGCATTCAAGATGTCAGTGCTAAAATTATTGGCTCCAATAATAAATTAAACGTAATCCGCTGTACCTTTCAAGCCCTCGATAAAATGACGAAAAGGAGGAGCAATTGATAATGACGAAAGAATATTTAATCAAATTAACCAAAGCCAAAAAAAATTGACGAGGCAGTAAAACTCACGGACGTGGTACCAAGGGGCAAAAAGCCCGCAAAAGTGGTCATGTTCGTCCCGGATTTGAGGGCGGACAGACTCCCATTTACCGCCGCTTACCTAAGCAAGGATTCACTTCACACAACAAAAAAGAATTTATTATTATTAACCTTGCCCAACTAGAAAAGGACCAAAAAACTT